TCCCATTAATTAAAGTGTAGCATTTTTAAAAATCAGAAGCAGTTTGGGAACAATAATGTTAAAAAGAGTTTAGCAAATTGAAAACCTGCATTAGCTAGTAATCGTTGTTAAAAGGTCAATTTAGAATAAATCAATATCTGTATCATCAGGTTTTTTAAAACAGCTTTTCTAGGGATGTGACATTTCCTTCTAAGTGAAAGAGAAGAGTCACCCTCTGTTGGATTCTAAAGGGCACTACACTGTTCACATTCATAAGGCCTTACCTTCTTTAGGAAATTAGACTGTAGTCTGTTCTTTGATTTAAAAATAAATATTAACATTTAAAACTTCTTGTGGGGCCAGCGTTGCAACATAGTGGGTTAAACTGCTGCTTGTGGTGCCATCATCCCATATGGGTGCTGGTTTGTATCCCAGCTGCTCCACTTTGGATCCAGCTTCTTCCTAATGGCCTGGGAATAGCAGCGGAAGGTGGCCCAAGGGTTTGGGTCCCTGTCACCCATGTAGGAGACCAAATGAAGCTCCTGACTCCCAGCTTCAGCCTAGCGCAGTACTAGCCATTGCAGCCATCTAGGGAGTGAACCAGCAGATGCAAGATCTCTCTGACTCTCTCTCAGCCTTTCCCTCTCTCTCTGTAACTCTGACTTTCAAAGTAAATAAATAAAAATCTTTGAAACTAAATAATTAAAACTTTAATTGCTTGATCAATTTTGAGCAAAGTTTTAAGCTCAGGTAAATTAATGTTTATATAATTATATGATTTAAATGTTATTTTCCTTTCATGGAAAGTGAGTTCTTTAAAAAATACAGATGAATTTGACCCAGCAGTTCTGCTCCTAAGTATATGTGAAAGAAAACTGGACGCATGTCCATATAGAAACCTACATCTGAATGTTCAGAATAGCCCAAAAATAAGAACAGCCCAGATAGCTGTTCAGAATGTAGAAGAAAAGGTGTTGTAGTTGTACAATGGAATGTTGCTCAACAATAAAAAGGAACGAAGTACTGATCTGTGCTACAAAATAAGTGAACTTTGAAAATATTATGTTAATTGAAAGAAACTAGTCACAAAAGGCCACATGGCTTAATTCCATTTTATGCAAACCCACAGAAAATAGAAAAAAGTTTCATGCTTGCCAGGGCCTGGGAGGAGAGTTTAGGGAGTGACTGCTAATGGGTGCAGTTTCTTTTTGAGGTAATGAAAATGTTCTGAAATGAGGTTATGCTGATGGTTGCATAACCCTATGAGTATAATGAAAGTCACTAAATTGCACATTTTAAAAAGATAAATTGGCTGTAGTATGGGAATTATATTTTGGTAAAGTCATGATTTCTTTTAAAAAATAGTATTGGAGGAAAGAAATACTCAATTCCCCTTGTATTTCCTCTTTTCAATGTTTGTTTATTCTCTTTTATTTATTTGAAAGGCAGAGTGACAGATAGATACTTTTTCCATCTGTTGGTTCACTCCCAAAATGCCCACAACAGGACTAGGCCAGACCAAAGCCAGGATCCAGGAAATCCATCTGTGTCTCCTACATGGGTGGCAGGGGCTCATGTATTTGGGCTATCACCTGCTGCCTATCTTGGTACACCTTAGCAGGAAGCTGAATTGGAAGCAGAGGTGGGACTTTATCCCAGGTACTCTGATATGGGATGTGGGCATCCCAAGGAGCAGCTTAACACACTGTGCCACAACGCCATTTCTCCTTTTAATTTCTTTTAAAATACACACACACACACACCAAATCCAAATAGATTCCTAGTACCTTTGGATATCTATATGTTTAGATTAACTCCTGGATTTTACAAACTATACTTGTGTATAAACATTATTGTTTAACTATTTCAGTTATTGGAATATTTGCATATTTATTTGGGGACTCTTGTAATGGACAAAAAGAGATATATTGTCTTTTATTTATTCAGAAAATCTCTTGTATTTTCAATAGAATTTTCAAAATATTTCATCAGAAAATATGACCTTCTTTCCAGGGTGTGAGAATCTACATTTCTTGATCCTGGGAGCTCCCAGGATGTTTTCTGGGGCATAACAGGACATGTGCAGAGTAGATGGAGCTCCGGCCTTGGCTCAGATCTCAGGCTGAATCTAGTACTCATGGAAAAGTACTTAAAGATTTGGAGCTTAGTCTTCCAGTTATAAAATTGAGTCTGGGGCCCTGTGCTGTAGTGTAGTAGGTTAAGCCTCCGCCTGCAGCCCTAACATCTCATATGGGCCCTGGTTCGAGTCCTGGGTGCTCCACTTCCAACCCAGCTCCTCGTTAATGGCCTGGGAAAGCAGTTAAAGATGGCTATACATCCACGTGGGAGACCTGGAAGAAGCTCCTGGCTCCTGGTTTCAGATCAGCTCAGCTTGGGCCGTAGCAGCCATTTAGGGAGTGAACTAGCAAGTGGAAGACCTCTCTGTCTCTCCCTCTCTGTCTGTGACTCTGCTCAAACAAATAAATAAATAAATCTTTTTTAAAAATAATACAAATAAAATGAAGTTTGGGATGGGTAACTATATCTCAAGCTTGCAGGGATTGAGTGAGATCTTTGGAACATGTCTAGTCAATGTCTGGGCTCAACAGTTTCAAGTTCATCATGCTTAAACTTTCAGAGTTTCCAAACATCTAACCAACTGATTAAGGCACTTTAAAAATATTTTATTTATTTATTTAAAAGATAAAGTTACAGAGAGAGGGAGAGACAGGGAGAAAGGTCTTCCATCCCCTGGTGTACTCCCCAAATGGCCACATGCCAGGAGCTTCTTCCAGGTCTCCCACGTGGATGCAGGGGCCCAAGGACTTGGGCCATCTTCTACTGCTTTCCCAGGCCATAGCAGAGAGCTGGATCAGAAGAGGAGCAGTCAGGACTCAAACTGGTGCCCATATGGGATGCCTGCACTGTGCCACAGTGTGGGCCCCTAAGGCACCTTTTGAAAACCTGCCCATCTTCCCAGCTCTCTAGTCAACTTAAAAAATAACCTTCACCATTCTTACCTAAATGAGCGAGTTCTGAACCACAGAATAATTGTATAAGAGGGCACAGCAAAAGTTCCACAGAAAAAAAATGGTATTAAAGGGAAGTTTGGTTTAATGCAAAAAATGTTGAAATCCATGTATACAGGGGATTTCAAAAAGTTCATAGAAATACTTATTATATAAAAGTATGCATGGATTTTGAAATTTTGTGCACCAAAATTATCTTTTAATTCCATTTTCTATGAAGTTTTTGCAGTACCTTTGTGTGTGATGTGAGATATTTATAGCAAAAAACAACAGTGGGCATTTTAGCCTGTGGTTCTGATGCGTGCATCTCACATTGGAAAAACCTGGATTCATTTCTACTAATGGAATCCTTCTAATGAAGACCCAAGGAGGCAGCAGTGATGACTCAGTGGTTGGGTTCCTGTTACCCAACTAGAAGACCTGGATTGAGCTCCCTGTTGCTGGTTTCAGCCCTGTCCCAGCCATAGCCATTGCAGGCACCTGGGGAGTAAAACAGCAGATGGAAACCCTCTCTCTTTCTCCCCCAACCCAGATAGATAGATAGATAGATAGATAGATAGATAGATAGATAGATAGATATTTCAGAAAATTGCAAGACCCTAAAAATACCAACTCTAACTTTGGCCAGTTCTCAGGATTCCTGACTACGGGAAGCTATGATGAGTTGGTTACAGCAGGGACATTTCTGTGTCAGTGCCTCTGAAAGTGGGAACAAAGAGGCTCTAATGAGTGAAAATGTTAAGGCTGATCTCAGTGGCCTTTTAGAAGGCAGTACAGTACATTTTTATAGATTTCATTTACTTTCTTTTCCTCCAAATTGTGACTTTATCCACATGAGTTTGATAGCCAATTTATAAAAATAGTCTTTAACACCTGTGTTCATTAACATTTAGAGGGAACACGATTGCTTCGTTTTGTTCTTGTACTTGGGTGTTCTGAACTCAGACAGCCCTTTGCATTTCTTGCAAGTGAGCTAGCAAGAGTGAGACATTTGCCTAGGTCTTAAGGATCCTTGCCCTAATTTTTTTTTAGTTTTTATTTATTTATTTATTTATTTGCCAGATAGAGTTAGACAGTGAGGGAGAGAGACAGAGAGAAAGGTCTTCCTTCCGTTGCTTCACCCCCCCAAATGGCTGCTACAGCCGGAGCTATGCCAATCCAAAGCCAGGAGCCAGGTGCTTCTTCCTGGTCTCCCATGCGGGTGCAGGTGCCAAGCGCTTGGGCCATCCTCCACTGCCTTCCCAGGCCACAGCAGAGAGCTGAACTGGAAGAGGAGCAACCGGGACTAGAACCTGGTGCCCATATGGGATGCTGGTGCCGCAGGCAGAGGATTAACCAAGTGAGCCACGGCGCCGGCCCAGCCCTATATTTTTTTTTTTAACTTTTATTTAATGAATATAAATTTCCAAAGTACAGAATATTGATTACAATGGCTTCCCCCCCATAACGTCCCTCCAACCCGCAACCCTCCCCTATCCACTCCCTCTCCCCTTCCATTCATATCAAGATTCATTTTCGATTCTCTTTATATACAGAAGATCAGTTGAGCATACATTAAGTAAAGATTTCAACAGTTTGCTCCCACACAGAAACACAAAGTGAAATATACTGTTTGAGTACTCATTATAGCATTAAATCTCAATGTACAGCACCTAAGAACAAAGATCCTACATGAGGAGTAAGTGCACAGTGACTCCTGTTGTTGACTTAACAAATTGACACTCTTGTTTATGGCATCAGTAATCACCCTAGGCTCTTGTCATGAGTTGCCAAGGCTATGGAAGCCCCCTGAGTTCAAAAAAAAGTCACCAGCCCTATATTTTTAATTTGGGCAAATTTTCTAGCCCGTTCCAGTGTGGTTTTGTTGTTCTCAGGTGGTGATGTGGAGTATGTGTTCAGTTACTGCCTGTGCTGTACTTTTTGGCTTCTCTCTGTCATTAATGTACTAAATTATTTGGTCCTGATTTTTTTGTTTGTTTGCTTCACCTCCAGAATAAGGAGTTTGTGTGTCGAGGGCATGACTATGAGAGGCTGGAGGCCTTCCAACAGAGAATGCTGAACGAGTTCCCCCATGCCATCGCCATGCAGCACGCCAACCAGCCCGACGAGACCATCTTCCAGGCAGAAGCGCAGTGTATCCACACCCAGAAGGGCTGCCTGCCAGGCACTGCACGCTGGCTGCTGGCTCCCAAGCATTTTCATGCGAGGTTGTTAGAGCAGCCATGTTCTTACGCTTCCCTCTTTCACATCAGCTTAATTTTCACGTAGCTCCTTCCCAACTGAATTTTTTATTGCGATGCCCCTTGATAAGAAACCTGTTAAAGATTCTGTGACAGAATGTTTTTCCTTTCATTAAAAGTCTTCTGTTTCTCAGCCCTCCTTTTAAAGCCCTTTCTTAGAGATGTCCCTTAGAATGATTTTTCCTCTGACACATTCTGCGGGAATGGCTTCAGTTCAAGGAAGTGATAACATTATACTGGCAGCTTTAGATAATTCACCCTTTTTCCCTTGGTGTTTTCATTCTGGAATGAGAACAGCAAGAGAAAGAGGTACCTCAGGATATTTTCGGGGTTCTTAGCTGTCTCAACCTGGACTGCTTTCAGTAATGGCTATGCAGTTCACCTCCCCTTGTTGAAACACAAACATCTGAATTGGAATTACATAGACGTTAGGCAAAGGCCGGTCACCCCAGCCCTCCTCTCTGAACCTCTCTGCCTCTTGCTAAAATAAGTGATCGTAAAGAAAATCTGAAACTCCCACTAGTAATTTTGGTTACTGTTTCATAGCAAAAACCAAGATGTAAGAGAAGCAAGGAATTACATAAGGAAGAATATTTTTGCTATCCTTTTTTGAATGAAAAGAGGAGGAGGTAAACATACAGTAGGATACCTGTTTAATATAATTTTTGCAATATCACCTACAACTAAATAATCTGCTCATGAAGATTGGGAAAGTGGATATCACACGTGTGATAAGGGAGCACACAGGTACGAACGTCACTCATCACTGTTCTCCTTCCTGTCTTTGGTCATGTCTGCATTATGAGTATTTACTTATTATCATAACAATAAGATTTACAGAGCCATGCATGCACTAAGGATGAGTGACTTTTCTCACTCAGAGTGCCTCCTGACACCTTCATTAAAACACAGTTGGTGACATAAAAAGTCACAGACCACGGGCCTTTCAAATTGACACTTTCTGAGGATCACCTGCCTAGAACTAGTTCAAGGCCTGTCATTTGAGACTTGATTTGCTATGAAGTGAGTTCTTGGCATCTTCTCGGGAATTCTTAGATGACTTCAACTGACTGACATGGCACCCCCAGATTGTTACCCATTCTCTTCTGTCTGCCACGGCTCGGCTGGAGCCAGAACCCCATGGGGTTTGCCGATTCGGGTTCCTTCCTTGACTCTCTAATCCCAGACCTGCAGATCTATGCTGTCACTCCCATGCCAGAGAGCCAGGAGGTGCTGCAGAGAGAGGGTGTGCCGGACAACATCAAAAGTTTCTACAAAGTCAATCACATCTGGAAATTCCGCTATGACCGACCGTTTCACAAAGGCACGAAGGACAAAGAGAACGAATTCAAGGTACCATGCAGTTCTCATTGCCTGCCCTCTCCTCATAGCCCGTGAGCTCCTCAGGGCACAGCCCTGGGTAAGTGTTCACTCGGGATGATGTCAAACGATCCACAGAGGGACTCCAGAAACCATCTGGTCTAGGGGTTGGTTCTCCAAGTCCATGCTGGTCATCAGTGACAAGGGGTCATTTCTAACCCAGCAGATTTCTGGTCCCCACCCCAGGAATTCTGACTCAGTAGCTCCAGGAGGGGGTCCTGAAATGAGCCTTTTTTGACAAGTCCAATGCCAGTGGTCCTTTGTCTGTTCTTTGAGAACTCATGGCTGAACTCAGTCATTCATTCCTGTTGAGCCCATGGCAGGGACCCTCAGGGTATTTATTTTCAGATACAGGGGAGTGCAGTGAGTGGAGAATACCTGGTGCACTGGGGCAGGAGAATCCTGAGACGAGAGAGCACCTGTGTGGGCTGCTCGTGCGGTGGGTCAGTTCTGTGCGCCTGCAACAGCATGTGTTCCCCCTGCACTTTGAGCACCCTCTGCCTTCCCTGTAAGCTCTTGCTGCTTTTTCTTGTAGAACCATGTGTAATTAGGACTTGTGAGAGGACCTGGAGGCAAAGCAAATCCTGCGTGTGTGGATGTCCCCACTGTTAGTGGGTCCACACCTTGCTAGTTCGGCATGCTCTCAGCCAGAACAGGATAAGATTTCTCACAGCCCTGCTGGGGGAAAAGAGGCAAGATGGTTCAGCAGATGAGTTGCAATCCTCCTTTTCCTTAAAAACAGTGACACAGTGAGACCATGTAGAGCCCCAGTATTGTGGTATTCCCCACCTAAACAAAGCACAGAAAGTGAACTTGTAATTGTGGGTTCATTGTCAGTTCCCAGTGCCCCCAGAAGTAGCTCCAGTTCTTCTTAGGCAAGAGCACAGAAGGGGAAGCAGGGATGCTTTGGCAAAGTTATTATGAGGCTGAATAAAGGGCAGTTTTTGTTTTTTTTTTTTTGGTGGGGGGGGTTGATGAGTTAAATACCCAGGCAAGGAGACGGTTGGAAAACACCATGGAGATATTGTTGAAAAGATCTGTGATCATTTTCTAGTCCCTTTGGAATCTACATGTTTTCCCTCTGCCCTGCGAAATCAAGTAACTGTCTCGTCCATGTGTGATAGCGCTCTCCCTGCAATTGCTTCTAGTGCATGACAAGTGAGGGATGCGCGGGGGTCAGAAACCTGACCTGCTCAAAGTCACGTTCCAATTACCGGCGGATTCAGCTCCAGAGCGGATCCCTTCTCCATTGCTTTTCTCCACTGAACCCTTATTTCTGCGCTTCCAGCAGCCTGGAACCTGGCGCCAAACTGCCCCTCCAGAAGCCTGGCCTCCTCCACACCCACTCACCCACCCTCCCCTCCACGCATCGACACACAGCTTCCGCCTTCCTCCCGCCCTGCCCTTTCACAAGCTCTGTGTGCAGCTGCTTCCTGCTGCCTGCGCTGCACCCCCTCTCCTCCTGGCAAACTCCTACTCACCTGAGGTAGCTCACGTGTCCTCCTCCCCTGCACGCCCGCGTCCCCCTGTTTTCTCCCTGCGCCTGGAGCACCCTTTCCCTTCCCTCTGAGCTGATCTTGTCACCCGGAACCCCGCCAGCTCTCGTCACAGGGGCTCTGCTACACTCATCTCACTACCTCTAGGCTGGCACCAAAGAAATCCTTCCATGTGTTGTTGCTGTTTGAATAAATGGCATGATTTCAGGAATATTGTCGAGCTTTTTATCCTTTTGGAAACACACTTGCTTCAATAAAAAAGCCGAGGCATAGATGCTGACACCAGTTCCCGCACGGGAGACCTGTAATCGCCTGCAGCTCCTGCCTGAGGCAGCTGTGGTTCCATGTGGCCTGAGGGTGGTCCCCCTGGCTGTGAGATACACATCTTCCCAGGTGGCAGCCATTCCAACAGGCAAAAGGAAGTGTGGCCCTGTGGGTGAGTCTTCAGGAGGACATGGAGGTTCGAGTGTGGGTTCATGCTAGGGCAGGGTCTGCGGGTGATCAGATCTGGCTTCTGAGCTGGTCTCAGTGCCTTGCGAGGCTCAGTGTCTTCAGCTTTGAAACAAGAAGAGGGAGCCATGTGATTCCCAACCGCATCCTTCAGAATCTCTTCTCGTAACCTTGTGTTGACTGTCTGATACTACTTTTCCTAGATTAAAAAAAAGGCTAGAGCTGGAGGACTGAAGAGCTTATTTAAATCTGACTTTTGCTGTCTGAAGTAGGAAGTCATCTGTTCTACATAGAAAAAATTTCAGCGGGCATGCAATGGAATTATTCACACAAACGTCAACAACATTTTCCACTGCTAGTCCATGAGCGCTCGAATGAAGAGTGAAGAAAAGCTAACATTGCATGGCAGGCATCCTCCAGAGCGCAGTGGCTGGCCCGGCAGCTTGGAGACTGAATTTGTTTGTGTTTTGTAGAGTCTCTGGGTGGAGAGAACATCGTTGTACCTGGTGCAGAGTTTGCCCGGCATTTCCCGCTGGTTTGAAGTGGAGAAGCGTGAAGTGGTAAGGAAAAGAGCTCACTCTCAGCTACCTGTCTTCGCAGCTGCTCACCCCGAGGCATGCCCTGTGTTAACCTCATGTGCTTTTGATGCAAAGTCCCTGAACACCCTCATAGTGAGTGAGTGCGTGTGATACTGCTGTAACCAAGGCTGTAGATGGCATCAGGGTTGTACTACTGCTTCCAGCCAGTGGGAGTCCTTGAGACAGCTAAGATCACAGCATGGGAGAAAAACTACTCAGGCACTTAGTCACAGCACCTGGAATTCCAGTTCTCCTAATGATCAGAGCTGGATGACCTTCAGGGCTTGCTGTGTGCCAGGTCATTTTCTGTGTTATCTGATTTAATCAACACATCAAAGCCATGAAGTGTTCTTATCTCTGTTCTTCCAGTCTTTAACAAACTTCAAAAGCTTTTGCCAGAGATCCCATGTCAGGGACAGGCTGGAACCCAGATGTTTCTGATCCTAAAGTGGTTGTGTTGACCTTCTCTAGCCTTGGCCTCTGTGTAGGCCAAAGGAGGCCCAGCGCAGTGTATAATGAACCATAAGTCCCTGCCCTGCTGGTGCAATTCCAGGTAGGAGAGGTGGTTGGTCTCCCTGAGCAGTCCTGGTTAGAGCATTGGCTGGAGACCAAGGGTCACTGTCACAGATCACCAGCGGAACAGGAACCCTCTGGTGGTCAGACATGCCCCCAGCTCCTACGCCCACCCTGGGTATGGAGAACAGGGAGGCCTTTGCTGAAGATAGCCAGGTCAGGGGGCAACCCACGCTTTCCTCTGCTGCCCTGGAGACTGGCAGCACCTTGACACTGGCCACAGTCCTGCCATCTTACCCTATACCTTGTCCTTCCTTTGGTTCCTCCATTGTGGCCAAGGCCAACCCTTTGATGGCCATAGTCCTCTGTCCAAAAGAAAACATGCCAATTACAAAAATATAAGTTAACCCATTCCTTACTGAGGTAGCAAGCTCACTCTGTCAATGAGTAAGAGCTCCTGCCCAAACTGGCTTTCAAGAGTGGCTTGTCCGACCTGAAGTCTCTCAGGATGGAAACCACCCTCAGCTTATCATGTTCAAGTAAGCTAAGGATGTCATGGGAGTTTCATTTTGCAAGACCAAAACAGGAGTCTGGCTTCCTAAACAAATTGCCCTTGATTCAGCAGATTGTATCAGAGTGTTTGTGTTCTTGTACCGTCTTGAGTCTTGAGTCAAGGTTCCCCAAAAGCTGGTTGCTGACAAGGTGTACCCCAACTGTGCCTCCTAATGAGTGGCCTGGGGTCAGAAATGTTCTAAACCACCCATGCTGCATTTAATGATTCAAAAGGCATTTTCAGCTACTTACTACCCAGAACATTAAATTCTGCAGTCTCACCAATGACACTGGTTCTTTCCATCTCTCTCTGTCTCTCTCTCTCTCTCACACACACACACACACAAAGTACTAATAGAAAGCAGTATGCTAATAATGATAAAAGGAGCATTACCAGACACACCCTTTCAAACATCAGCTGCCTACTTGATCAAGATACGTAATCTGATGTTCTGTCAGAGCGAATCACACAAGGCCATTTTCCTCCCTGAGCACAGCCCATTCCTAACGGCCTTTGTATCTTGCTCTTGTTCCTGCTTCCTAGAATGTCACCCTTCTATTAAAGTCGGTTTAATTCTTCATGCATAAAGTCTTCAGGAATGGGATTACACAATACACCCCAATACATTTGTATCCAAAGAATGGAACTTCTTCATTTGTTTTTTTATCTTTTCTTTTTTTTCTTTTTATTTTATTTATTTTATTTTATTTAATGAACATAAATTTCCAAAGTACAGCTTATGGATTACAATAGCTTCCCCCCTCATAACTTCCCTCCCACCTGCAACACTCCCCTCTCCCACTCCCTCTCCCCTTCCATTCACATCAAGATTAATTTTCAATTATCTTTATATAAAGAAGATCGATTTAGCATATATTAAGTAAAGATTTCAAGTTTGCACCCACACAGAAACACAAAGTGTAAAATACTATTTGAGTACTTTTTTTTTTTTTTTTGACAGAGTGGACAGTGAGAGAGAGAGAGACAGAGAGAAAGGTCTTCCTTTGCCATTGGTTCACCCTCCAATGGCCGCTGCGGGCCTGAGCCGAAGGCAGGAGACAGGTGCTTCTCCTGGTCTCCCATGGGGTGCGGGGCCCAAGCACTTGGGCCATCCTCCACTGCACTCCCTGGCCACAGCAGAGAGCTGGCCTGGAAGAGGGGCAACCGGGACAGAATCCGGCACCCCGACCAGGACTAGAACCCGGTGTGCCGGCGCCGCTAGGCGGAGGATTAGCCTGTTGAGCCGCGGCACCAGCTCAACTTCTTCATTTGTAATACCAAAATCTGAAAAAATCAAAAGATGTTTTCACAAGTTTGGCTCCAAAACTCCTTTATTTATGCATGTAAGTCTTCTATCATAACACTAGTTGTTAGCTTCATTTTGCCTGTGTCTCACTGCAGAAATATTAAGACGTTTGATTCAAGGAAACTGCACCAGACCCTGCTGAGGGTTCCTGCTCTGCTAGATAGACCCCATCTTACCTTTATAAACCTGAAAAGTCTCAGACATGAGATGTTAGATTTCCAGTGAAATGTGGCCCTTTATTTCCTGAATCATAAATCTGGAGTAGTTAATAAAATGGTAATAAAATATCAGTGCCTTTGAAATAGTTTCTGTGGTCAATTTTTTTTTTAAGATTTATTTATTTGAAAGTCAGAGTTACACAGAGAAGGAGAGGCAGAGAGAGAGGTCTTCCATCTGCTGGGTCACTCTCCAGATGACCGCAACTGCCGGGCTGCACCCATCGAAAGCCAGGAGCCAGGAGCCTCTTCCGGGTCTCCCACGGGGGTGCGGGGACCCAATGACTTGGGCCATCTTCTACTGCTTTCCCAGGCCACAGAAGAGCACTGGGTCAGAAGTGGAGCAGCAGGTACTCGATCCGGCTCCCATATGGGATGCCAGCACTGCAGGCCAGGGCGTTAACCCACTGCACCACAGCACCAGCCCCTCCTCATCATTTTTAAAATTAATTCTGTTTTCAAACTCATTCAGTCTTTCAAGCTCCCTCTCTGATTAAAACATAAGTTCACTTTAAAATTTCTTTAAAAGGCATTTTATTTCTTAAAATCTATAAATATGATTTTTGAAAGTTCAACTAAAGATAATGGTAATATCATCCCGGCATATCAGATACATCAAAAAGTCATGTGGCTCCACTTTCAAAATAGACCCAGAGGAGCTGGCATTGTATTGTAGGTTAAGCCACCACTTGGGACATTAGCTTGTCTCTGCTTCCTGCTAAGGTTGTCCTGTGAGGCAGCAAACATTGACTCAAGAACTTGGGTCCCTGCCATCCACATGGAAGACCTGGATGGAGTTTCAGGCTCCTGGCACCCTGGCTTTTGCAGGCATTTGGAGATTGAACCGGTTCATGAAGGAACTCTCTCATGCGTTGTATCTTTCTATGTCTTGCTGTCACTCTGCCTTTCAGCTAGATGAAAATAAAATAAACATTTATTCTGCCTGATTGTGCAGATTACAACCTCTCCTCACCAGCACACACCGATAGCGCCATCTAGTGTCTCATAACTACAGCAGCTGCCTGAGAGGTTGGCTTCTACCAGTATCCAGTATCTCAGTCTGTTCAGTAACACGGCAGCCGGTGACCTTTTTAAACCAAAGTTGTATCATATAAAAGTAGAGCACAAGTATAGAATGGACCAGATGTGCCCATCGTCTTACTTCAACAGCTATCACAAGGGCCGGTTTTTCATCTGCAATTCTACCTACACCGTCTCACATTGGATTATTTTGAAGCAGATGTCAGACATCATTTTATCTCATCTGTAATACTTTAGAATGTTTATTTGTTTAATAAAAGACCAAAGGCTACAATGTCACAATGTCATTTAGCACAGCCAAAAATATTCATTGATCATAACATACCCAGTATTCATTCCCACCTCATCAAAAGCCTTTTTGTTTAAACTCATTGTTGTTTAAATTTAGATCCAAATAAAGGCTGTACTGAAATGTCTCCTAAGTCTCTTTCTACCTGTATGTTCCCTTATATCTACTTGAAATTCGTTGTTGAAGAAAATAGGTTGTTCCTCCTGCAGTGTTTCCCTAAGTCTGAATTTTAGACTTTATCTCAGTGGTGCCATTTAACATATTTCATATTTCTCTGTCACCTACATTTCCTGTACACCTGTAGTTAGATCTGGAGGCTTCCTAGGATTTTATTGCTTTTGTTTTTGTAAGTCTGCCTCATGTGTGATGTGTGTTTCTGGTTGTCTTTTTTTCTCTTGTCTTTCTTTTGTCTCTTTTGGTGATGTTGTCAGCTACTGAAGACCATTGCCTACATCCATTCACCCCTTAGGAGTTTCAAAATGGTGACTTTTTTTTTCCATTCCATCTTTATTTATTCATTGGGATACTTCTACAAAGAGAAATATCTCCTCATCATCTACTTCAGAGGTATAAGAAAGAATAGAGAATGCTTTGTTCTTTCCCTTTATTTACCAGTTTCAAAATAATAACTTGGCTCCCGAGCACCATACTAAAAAAGACCAGAAAAGATTTTGTTTTGTTGGTTTTGTTTCTGTGTTATCAGTAACTTATAGATTTAAGCATATTTTTTAAAACTGATAAATTTTTTATTCTTACTGAATTTCAAATTGGAACAGTTGGTCCATGAAGAGCCTCTACACATTGGCCCCTGTGTCTTTGTGACAGTATCCAAGTGGTTACTGAGCTGGTACACAGGATTGTGTTGTCAGATCAGACGTGCAGAACAGCAATCTGGCCCAGGATGCGGCTTTATTAATAATTGCCAAGGCACTCAGGATGCCCCTGGTGAAGCAGGAAGGCTTCTGAGACATCTCGCCCCATCCACCAGATCCTTCCCCACATCAGTAATCATTCAGATGGAGCCTCTGAGTGAGGTCATGCGGTTCCTCCTACAGGGAACGCGTTTCGATTATGAAGCCTCAGTTCTGAAACGTTCCATGTTACACTCCAGAGAGTTCGTTACAGAGCTTCTCAGGGCCATTCTCTAATTGTACCTTGTGGATTCTGGTTTATTTACTTTAAGAAGTCTTTGGGGACTTCTGCTACCGGCATTCTATAACAGAACACCTTTTCCTCCTAGTAATTATTCTTAGTCCATGTACTTCAAGGTTCTGCCTGTTTGCCTTTCTGTCCCCTAAGGACATTCCCCAGTAATGAGAATGACTAGATCGCAGGCCAGTTCCCCTAAGGACTTCCTCCCTGACATCCCCTGCTTTCTGGAATGACAGAGTGGTCCAGATTCACTTACACATCTCCTGCCTGAGGCCTGAGAGCTGCCATTTCTCCCCTGATTCCTGACTTGTTAGTGGTAAACGGTATTTAAAGATCACAGTCTGGGGAAGAGAGGAAAATCATCCTTTGCTGAACATTGTTTCTGCACGTACTTTGCTTATTTCTTTGACTGTCTCCTTGGCATTGTTTCCGAAAACTGAATGAATTTATCACAGGGTATCTCTGGTGTAACCTCTAATTCGTGGGTCAGCGATGGGGGTTATCAATCTCTGCCCCTCTGAAGGGATAGCTGTTTCTTGGGAATATCTATTGTCCCAGCATTCTCTCCAGTATTGGATATCAGATACTATTCTGACATGTTTATTCTCAAAATGCTTTCATATATAAAATAGTGGTTAGGATTCTAGATTCAAATCTAGATTCTTCTATTCACTAGTGGTATGACTTGGAGGCAAGCTATATAATCTTTTTTAAAAATGTTTTCATTTCTATAAGGGGAACAAATTTCATATGTGCAGTTTTAAGAGCATAATGATACTTCCCACCCTACCCTCCCTCCATCCCTCTCTCCTTCCCTCCCTCCTCCTTTTTTATTTACTTGTTAAATTTTTTTTATTTATTTGAAAGGTAGAGTTGCAGAGAGAAAAAGAAGGAGAGAGGGAGAGAGGGAGAGAGGGAGAGAGAGAGAGAATCTTCCATCCACTGTTTTACTCCCTAGATGGCTGCAATGACCAGGGCTGGATCAGACCAAAACTGGGAGCCAGGAGCTTCATCTAGGTCTCCCACATGGGTGCAGGGGCCCAAGACCTTGGACCATCTTCCACTGCTTTCCCACACACTTCAGCAAGGAGCAAGACCGAAACTGGAGCAGTTTCAGGATTCAAACCCACACCCAAATGGGATGCCAGCATTGCAGACAGTGGTTTAACCTGCTGTGCCACAATGCCAACCCCATCTTTTAGTTTTACAATGGCATACTTCCAATTTACTTTATAATCACAAACTTAACCCTCCTCTAAATAAAGAATTCAACAAGTAGTAAGTGGAAAAACCACTGTTCCTCAGGGCATAGACAAGAGCTATGAATAATAATCAAATCTCAAAATGTCAATTTCATTCTTATACATTATTTTTTGTACTCTATGTATTAGTTACCACAAACCAGAGAACACATATTATATTTGTCTTCAGGGGACTGGCTTATTTCACTATGCCAAATAATAAAAATGATAATTCTAGGGTTGAATGGGGGGTGTCATTTATTAATATTAGTGAAGACAGAGCCTCCCATTCACCATTTCACTTCCCAAATGCCTGCAATAGCTGATGCTGGGCTGAGCCAAAGACAGGAGCCAGGAACTCAATCCAGGTCGCCCAGGTGAGTGACAAGGTCCCAATCACTTTTGAGCCATCACTGCTGCCTCCCAGGGTCTGCATTAGCAGGCAGTGGAGTTAGGAGCTGGACCTATGAATCAAATCCTGGTGCTCAGATGTAGAACTCAGGCATCTTAACCAGCATCTTAACCTCAAGTTTGAACACCTGTCCCTATCCTGACTTTTGTGATTTCCATTGCCTTGCCTGTTTTATCACTTATTTGTGTCCCTCCAAACAATTCAACTTCGTTTTGAACTTTATGTAACAGTGTCATACTATATTTGTTCTATTATGACTTCTTTCACTTAGTGTTTGTACTGTTTTCAATATTCTTGCGTGTAACTGAAGTTCATTTTCATTGCTGTATACTATTCTATTGTGTGACTGTATGACATGGATGAATAGACCACAATGTATGTATGCATTCACATAATGGACTTTGACAATTATTATGAACAGTTTTGTACATGTTTCATAATATACATATGTACACCTCTGTTCCACTTTTCCTTGACTATATGCCTAGGAATAGAATTTCTGGATCAACTATTTTTCAAAGTACATGAACAATTTGAACTTCAAACAGCAGTAATGGAGATTCTGTTGCTGATACTGTCATCTTCACTTACTGTTACCATCTTTACTGCCACTCCAGTGGGTTTAACTGATGTAACTGATGGGTTACTTTTCACATTTTCTATCACAAATGAGACTTAAAACTTTTTTATATGTTTACTGGCAAGTTTGATTTTTTAAAAGTATTTAACTTTTTTGTTCATTCTTATTGAGTTGTTTGCCTTTTTCATACTAGTTTTTACGTCTATCATATTCTAGACATGGGCTCTTTGAGATTGTAGATGCTATAAAATCTCATATGCTCTGGCTTATTTCTCCTTCTCTTCATAGTGTCTTTGTTGAATGTTCATTCTTGATTTTGATATGGTCAGACCATTCTAGGAGTTTCCAGTGTTGGTTAAAGTGACTTTTAAAACTCTGATTGTTCCCTAAACTGAAGGAAGCCACATTTAATGTACTTATGGTAATCCCGAATTACTTTACTGCTAGGAGCTTGGCACACCTTCTCTTTGAGGAGAATGTCATTAACAGTACCAATCTCAATGTCACACATTTGAAGAATATTTGTATTCTTTTCACAATTAGGTCCTCCCTACAACTCAGAATTTTTAAGTCATTATGACTCTGTTTGGCTCTCTGTCAACAAAGAGATCCTGAAATATATATTATGATCTTGTTTTCTGTAACTCCCAAATGTTTACCATCCTATGCCCCCTCATGATGCAATTATCTATGCATACGGGGTCCATATGGGCCTGGGTCCCATCTTCCCAACAGGGCTGAGAGCTCCTTGACATCAGGGGAATCTGTAAAGGCATGTTTGTCCCTCCCATGAAACTTTGCATCCAATAAGCATCTATATAGGTGATAATAATGTTCAGAGTCTGAATATTTAGCTCTTCAAAAGAAAAGTAAAACTAGCTTTAAAATGCACAAGCCGGCGCCGCGGCTCACTAGGCTAATCCTGCGCCTTGCAGCGCCGGCACACCGGGTTCTAGTACCAGTCAGGGCGCCGGATTCTGTCCCGGTTGCCCCTCTTCCAGGCCAGCTCTCTGCTGTGGCCAGGGAGTGCAGTGGAGGATGGCCCAAGTGCTTGGGCCCTGCACCCCACGGGAGACCAGGATAAGTACCTGGCTCCTGCCATCGGATCAGCGCAGTACACCGGCCACAGCGCGCTGGTAACGGCGGCCATTGGAGGGTGAACCAACGGCAAAGGAAGACCTTTCTCTCTGTCCCTCTCTCTCACTGTCCACTCTGCCTGTAATAAAAAAAAAATGCACAAGATGCTTGGATTTTGTCTTAAGGATTCAATTAATTGTTTCTGTGCTAATAAGGAATTGATAATTGTTGATTATCTGGAGTAATGAGGTACCCAGGCTTTTCAGCCCTTACTAATGAATAGCTAGCTTGACTTCCACATCCTGTCTATTCTATTGGAGGGCCCCTAGTAGTAGCCATATTGATAGGAGCTGAGGGGAGCGCAGATAATTCAGAACATGGATAATCTACTTTGTCTTTCTTCTTGAATGTCACAAAATTCAATATCTGTTTTTGTTCATTTGCCTCTCAGGTAGAAATGAGTCCTCTGGAAAATGCAATTGAAGTGTTGGAAAATAAGAATCAGCAGCTGAAGACTCTGATTGGTCAATGTCAAACACGACAGATGCAGAATATCAACCCCCTGACCATGTGCCTGAACGGAGTCATCGATGCTGCAGTCAATGGTGGAGTGTCCAGGTACCAAGAGGTGAGGATTCAATGCTGCATTGGACAAAGCTTTCATATGTGATTTCATGGGGTTCATGAATCTTTTTATACCCATATTGTAGCAGGCAAAGGCTACAGATCACAGAAAGAGTCCTTTGTTAAAAAGAGTAACCCAGTCATTAACTCCATCTTCCAAACAGGTTATATTTTGAAGACAAGACAGAAAGATAAAGAGATGGAAAGTTAGTCCTTAGATAAATAAATGTAGTGGGAAATAGGATTGTTTAAGAAATGTTTATTTATTTCTCAGAGTAATGAGATTCGTGGGCTTAGAAAATTACAATCTTGCTTCGAAGATACTTTAGGTAGACATTTCATCTGCCTTCTGTTATGTTTTGTTTTTAAAGATTTGTGCATTTATGTATCTGAAGGGCAGAGTGACAGATCTTTCATCTGCTGGTTCTCTCTCTCCCAAATGCCCACAGACATTCAAGGCTGGGGCAGGCTGATGTCAGGAGCCAGGAGGTCCATCCAAGCATCCCATGTAGGGTTGCAGGGGCCCATGTACTTGGGACATCATCTGCTGCCTTCCCAGATATATTAGCAGAAAGCTGGATCAGAAGTGGGATAGCTGGGACTTGAACTGGCACCCTGTTATGGGATGCTTGTGTTGCAAGTGCTGGCTTAACCTGCTGTGTCACAAAACCACCACCTGCCCTCTTGGTTTTAAAGATTTTTTTTTTTTTTGGAGATTTATTTTTTTGAAAAGCAGAGTTACAGAGAGAGAGGAGGAGATATAGAGAGACACAGAGATATTCCATTCACTGGTTCACTCCCCAAATGGCTCACCACGCCCCCCCCCCCCCCCCCCCCCGCCCCGCCTTAGTTTTAAATAGAAAGACACAGCAACCTGGAAGGTGAGGCCACTATCTTAGTCACACTGAATCTTAAGGAAATTTAGTTTAGGGTAGAATGTCAAAGAGTGAATTTACTCTTTGTTTATTGCTGCCATGCAGTTTCTGATCTTTCTTTTCCTTTTGGTTCCCTTCTGACCAGCTGCCCACACAGACATCCCTCCATCTGTCCCCAGATGTAGTTTCTGATGGTGTCATTTCTCCAAAGATGCCAGGTCTTTAAAAACAACAGCTAAGTCATTTGATTCCTTTGTAACTCGCCTGAACTCAACCAGCTGTCCTTTTTCTTACTAGGCTTTCTTTGTCAAAGAATATATCTTAAGTCACCCTGAAGATGGGGAGAAAATTGCACGATTAAGAGAGCTGATGCTTGAGCAGGTAAGGGAAGCAGAAGGCAGCCGCCTTCTCTCTGTCCTGCCTGGACAGGTGCCTGCTCACCCAGAGACCCAGCTGTGTGGTTTACTGCATCAGGAGTCTAACTGATGCTGGCAGTCTGCGAGTACAGATTCACCTGTATATATTCCAACTTACTAAGTTCTACGTTTCCTACCCATTTGGATGCAAAAATCGGGTTAACAAGGAGTAGACCAGTAGCTCACTATAACAATTTCATAGAATCTCTTAGAGCTTTCTTTGTTCTCTTAGAACTTGCTATATGCTTGATGCTGACTTTTCATTCAAAAGGTGGTACCTAAATAAGTTCAAGACAACTCAAATAAGTGTATGCATGAATGAGATTGCTGCTTATCTGTTAGCATAAGGAAGTGGGCAACTGATAGGCTTTTATTTAATTCAAGGTGGTGTTTGGAAACTAAATTTATGAAGTGCATGATACAGATAAAAGTAAATACAATTCATTGGTTTCTACTCTATAGAACCACAGTTTACTTTCATTTATTTGATACCTGCAAGTACGAAGAACTGGAGTGAGTTATCTGCTGCCTGTGATGTCTGGTAACTCTTGGGCAGGAAAGAGTTTAAAAACCTTGGAGGTAGGAGAAATTATAGTTGGAAGGCTGAGTTAAATAGGAAATAAAGACAGTTTATTTCCATGAAAAGTGGGATGGATATGGAAAAACGTGACAAAACCATATCTTCACACTTGAAAATACCAAATTAGTCAGTAAAGAATGCTCTTTTAGGTTAGAACGTGATGAGTCCATAGTATATACTGCATAGGTTTAGTGTGCGTTGTGTTCAGCCTGAGTTCTTTCCCCAGAGTTAAAGTCAGGGTCAAGAAGCCTCTCAAGAAAAACAAAACCAGGAAGCCTCTGTTTTCCTGGTCATGTTCCTGGGACCTGGCCTAGGCCACAAGAGATCAATGGTTATGACAGAGGCTGGCGGCCCACCCAGCTGCCCCGCCTCTGTCTCTGTGCAGTCCTGCTTCTGCCTCTCTCTCACAGGCAGCAAGCGTCCTCATCTCTGTGGCACAGTCTGCTTCCCTGAGAGCCAACTTACAACAAAAGGGAGGTCACCTGGCAGCCAGTGGCCCTGAGCCTCAGCTCCTGCATCCCTGCCCCGGCCTCATCACAGAGGTCAGCCTGCCCTTTGATGCCTCAAACCCTCCAGCGCTCCCTTTCACAGGTGTCCTTGATGTTTGCCTAAGGGTGTTTTGCTGTTTATGCAAATATGCTGGCAGTGGGCGGGCTTCCAGAGCCTTGATTGCCCTACCTGGGTCCTCTAGGCTGGTGACCTCTGCCCTAAGGAGGGTTAGTCCTGTTTGACCACAGTCTCAACCTAGAATCTACACTGGCAGCAAAGATGAAAGAGTTGCATGATTTGTATCCTCCCTGCTTACGGAATTTGTTCTTTTGATCACTGGAACATAGGGGCATTTTTTTTCTAATGTAAAAGCACTGCTCAAATCAAAGGAGCATGCAGTATTGATAGCTAAACAAAGGAAAGTTGCTTGTTTATGTTCCTCTTTGTTTGGGTCCTCACAGCAGGAGCACTTTTTTTATTAAAAGCAGGACCTGGTTTCTGGTGGCATTATCATATGTGAACAAGAATAATATTTTAAAACAAAACAAGAAGCATAGCAACAACCAGTACCGAATTCCTTCCTCCCTAGCAGATTCTGAAGCCTGGGAGGGCTGGGCGCAGAGAAACCTAGTGGTAGAGAGGAGAGTAACAGGAGTCAGGTGCCATCCAGAGAGGGGAGCTGTCTGGGGTGCAGTCCTGCCTCCATTCCTTACTGGATCCTGAGAAGGACCGGGAGGGGCCCAAGGGACAAAGAACTGCCAAGAAGCTTTGTAATTAGAGCTGGAAGAAGCTGGGAGCCGTGGGAAAATCGAGTCTCTGGCATCAGATAAACCCTAGTTCAAATCCCCCGCTTGTCTTTTAGTTCATGTAGGACTTTTCTGACACTCAGTCTCCTCCTCACCGCACCCCCCACGAAGGGACACCCATTCCTATCTTGTGGGAGCCAAGGGATTAGCAATGAAGCGGGCAAATGCACAGCGCAGGGCTGGGTCGACAGCAGGCGCTTAGTGAAAGGCATTCACTGATGAGGGTTTTTTCCTTATGTCGTCATTAAGGCACAGATTCTGGAATTTGGCCTGGCTGTGCATGAGAAGTTTGTGCCTCAGGATATGAGACCCCTTCACAAAAAGCTGGTGGACCAGTTCTTTGTGATGAAGTCGAGCTTAGGGATCCAGGTACGTATGCTGAGTGTCGGTGGCGGGGCGGTCTGACCACTGCTTTCACCTTTTGTTAGAGAGCCGGTGAGGTATCCCACAGCGACATCTGTTGGTTTTCCTGCCAAACTGCATGATTTTACTTAGAGCCTTCCACATTAAAATAGCATTGTCTGCTCTTTGTCGTGTCCGTCATGTGCTATGAAAACAATAAACGTCACAGGGAGAAAAGCTTAATAGTTCTGGAACTCACCTTCATAGAGCTGTAAAAATTTCACGACGATGAGGATGTGTATCTAGTCTACTCAAGTATCACACGAGTTGGGTTGCCCATCGCATTGCTGTAGTAAGTAAAGTTCTGTCTTAACCACACCTGCAGGAGTTCACTGCTTGCATTCAGGCCAGCCCTGTGCATTTCCCTAATGGAAGCCCTCGTGTGTGCAGAAACTCCGCCCCTGCTTCCATGAGCCCAGATGGCACCAGGGTAATTCCGAGGCGCAGGTAAGTCCTCTTCCATAGTACCTGACAATTTGGCATCCCCACAGGATGATCTGGAATGATTCTCTCATTCTTTATGGCACAATTTGTCAAAGACGCTGTTTCTTAACGACATAATGAAGCTGCGAGGCAGCCACAGACCTCTGCCACTGGTAAAACAATAGCCGACCGAGAAATAAAGTCAAACACTGGATTATATCGAGGCAAACAGGAGACACCAGAAATGGGATGGATGTGTTTTTCCCTTTGGTTTTCCATCACGCCAGCATGTGATAAAATGCATTTCACAGACTGACTTAACGATCATTTTTCCCCCCGAAACAGCCCGTTAAGTTACCCAGCTGTCAACCGGTATTCTTCCTCCTCACTGTCCTCACAAGCCTCTGCTGAAGTAAGCAATATTACAGGGCAATCAGAAAGCTCTGATGAAGTCTTTAACATGCAGGTACTTGATCAGCTTTTTGTCTGCTCGTGTTTATTCCTTCTCTGTCTCAATCATGGGAGTTTCTGTTCAGTCTGCCATGCACGTGAACTGTCTGTAAGCAAGAATTTGGCTTAAGGTCAAACCTCTAAACACTCGCATGGCTTTATTGGTGTTGAGTCTACAGAGACGCTTCTCTCACTGCTGCCCATAGCTCTAAGAAGCAAGTGAGCAAGCAGTGGGAAAAGCTAGACAAGCTGTGTGGCGTTGGCTCTGAGCCCTACCTCTAGTTGGCTTCTTGACTCCAGAGCTCTTGGGGCTGTCACCACATGCTCACTGCCACCCAGCACTTCTAATAAGTGAATTTTTTCTTTAAGGAGATGTGGTCACAGAAGTCTCTCTACCAGCATACTTGTTGGAAAATGTCTAGAGGAAAAAGGTTTCATTTTACACAAGGAGAGCCATTGCGACACTTAGAACATTTTACCTAAACACCGCTATGATGGTATCTATGACAGTACAGTAAGACTAAGCTGAAATTTTCCTAGCCACTCTCTTTGGAAAGGGACCAGCAATACTTATTTCCAAACTGGTACCTTCAATACATTTCACAGAAGGCATGAGAAGGCATGCTTTGTGCCTTTGGGAAGCAATCCCTCATTTATGTACCCTAGGCCAGAAGTCGTTCTGCATAGACTTAGCCAGGGAGTGCATTGCTAACTGGTACCAGGTTCCAGATCATAGCTGAAACTAGTGTGAATGCATCCCTTTGGTTGTAGTCAGAATCTCAGATTCTTGTTTGACTCAGGCAGGCCTTCTTAGCCTGAGTTTGTAAGGTTTTTCTAGATTTCCAAGTGGCCTCCGTGTTTCTTGATTTGAAAAGCAATGTTGATGGTGTGTTTCACCTGTTGTGTTAGTGTGGTGAGAAGCTCTCGCCAGTGTATGCTAACAGCTCCCCATGTGTTTCCAGCCAAGTCCATCTACCTCAAGCTTGAGTTCTACTCACTCTGCTTCACCTAATGTGACAAGTTCTGCTCCATCGAGTGCCAGAGGTCAGTGCCAGCATGTGGGGGAGACCGGGGGCCCCCAGCCTACCCTCAGGAACCCAGGCTTCAGGACACACAGGCCCTCTCCTCCACACAGGAGCGAGGCCACCACTGATGATTCTTTCCTTCTCTTCCCAGCTTCCCCCTTGTTGTCTGACAAACACAAACATTCCAGAGAAAACTCTTGCCTGTCCCCAAGAGAGAGACCATGCAGTGCCATTTATCCAACACCTGTGGAGCCTTCTCAGGTAGGAATTCCTTGTGGGATGGACAAACTAGAAAACTAGGAAAAATCTGGAATTGCTGACATTGTCCCTCTGCAGAAACACAGCGTAGCTTCCAAAAGCAGCCAGCTGGGCAGTGATAGGCCACAGGTCCAGCTGGGTGCAGGTTCCCCCATGTCCTCTGCCTCTGAAGACATGGGTTGCACCTGAGCACTAAAGCTGAGGGGGGAAATGGGAGATGATTTTTACCTTCCTGGCCCAACTCTCTAGTTCATGGCTGCTACTTAAACACTGCAAGGGGTACTGCTGAATGCATTATGTGTGTGTGTGTGTGTGTGTGTGTGTGTTCGCATGTGTAGGTAGCTGAAGTCTGCAGAACTTCTGATGTTGCAGAAGATCCTCGAGAAGCACGCTGCCAGCAGCAGCCTTCCTTTTTCTGTTGCCCGGCTAAGAAAACTGCAGCTGCTTCCCTTCCGGGGTACCCAAGAGTGCAGGAGCAATTTCTCTGTGCCTTCATCATCCTTCTTTAAGGCAGGGAGGGAAAAGCAGTGAGCACTCTGGCCTGTTCCATACTTTCCTTATAGGAATAAGGGAGCAAGGCCTTCACTGCTGCCCAAACTTGGTTTGGGATTGGTCCTTCTTAGTCCACAGGAGGCCATGGCCTCCACTCTCAGACCCTCAACAGACACCTGCCACTGTCAGGTCCGTGGGCCCGTTGCCTCAGCTGCACAGAGCCGTGTGACCCCTGGGGCTGCACAGGGGGCTACACTGACAGCTCTGTGGAGCTGGCTGGCTTTAAAGTTGAAGGTTCATGAGTAGCCCTACTTTTTAACAGATGACTTGGGAAGAATTTAAGAGCAGCGAAAAATAGTTCTTTCTACTCCAGCTAATTTCTCTGTCTTTCTACGCCACCCTGGCAGAAGACTGTAGCTGCCTCTGGAAGCGGATGAGAGTGAGTGGGATTTGGTTTGATTGGTTTAACTTGGTGGACTGTGTGATCTTCCTGAAAGTCCCATCCTGGGACTCCCCTGTGCCACACGAGGTTGTGCAGAAATGGACTCTGAGCGCGTCTGGATGGAGCAGCTAACCAGTTTGATTTCCCTCTGTCACCTGATGTTGCGAGGGGATTTGACAGTTTGTGCTGTCTGCTCAGTGTGGGGAACCCTGGAAAGCCTTCCCTGATTAGCCCCCAGAGCTTTCTGCTCTTGATGAAATCCAAAGCATTTGCTTTGTATGTTGCCAAAATGTCAATAATACACATTGCTGTAGGACTCTATTTTTAAGGACTTGGCACTTTTTCCTCTAATGTATCAGGGGAAGCCGTGTAAAATAGGCATTTTTGTAGGTTAAACCTTGTGGCTATTTTATGGTTTGTTTCTTGTTGTTGTTTTAATCCAACACAGGATTTAAAATGTGAAGGGGTTAAAGTCCATTCACTAGAGACTTTTTTTTTAGCTAATCTTTCCCCCTTATTTCATTTTTTTCTTTAAAGATTTATTTATTTGAAAGAGTTATAGAGAGAGGTAGAGCCAAAGAGAGAGAATTCTTCTATCCACTGGTTCACTCCCCACGTGACCACAACAGCCAGAGCTGAGTCAGGAGCTTCTTCTGGGTCTCCCACGCAGGTGCAGGGGCCCAAGGACTTGGGCCATCTTCTACTGCTTTCCCAGGCCATAGCAGAGAGCAGGATTGGAAGTGGAGCAGCTGGGACTCGAACCAGCACCTGTATAGAATGCCGGTGCTGTAGGCTGGGGCTTTAACCCACTATGCCACAGTGCCACCTCCCCCCTTAATTCTTAATTTGCATTTCATGTTGCCAACCCTAACCTTTTTACCCATAAGAAACACCAGAGCTCAGTTGCTAACTACTATTTTCCCCTACATTTTTTAATGAACACTTTTTTTGCCGTTTATATTTAAAATCACATGCAAATATTTTAAACACTAGGTTCCCTTTCTCAGAAGCTAAGGTTCTTCGCCCCTTTTTCCTTAAATATAAAGTTGAACTCCCAGTCCATGGGCTCATCCACCAAATTACTTGGAACAGTGAGTAAGGAGACAATCATCTCATTTTCTAGAAGGCTCACGTGTCAGCATCTTAGGCCATAAAAACACTCTTGTACCTTCCAGAGGATGCTGTTCAATCACATTGGAGATGGGGGCTTACCACGCAGTGATCCCAATCTCTCTGCCCCCGAGAAAGGTGAGTACGTCAGCCCCTTGTCCGTGCTGCACCACGCAAGGGTTTGTCTTGTCCCATTTCCTCCCGTCTTCCGTGTGTCGATGTGGAAGCAAGTGCTCTGGAGCTCAGTACCCATTAGGGGATTCGTGAAGGGTTATTCACGATCCGTTCTTCCTCAGCTGTGTTCTTGTAGACTGAACAGCAGAACCTGAGCACCTGAGCACCTCCTGTGTTGAACAGCTCTGGCTGTCCTCACTGAGTCACCTCCCAATGCCTGCTCTTCCTGAAACAAAGTGGCCAATTGGGCTACTGGGGCAACACCATCAGAGCAGAGTTTTCCAGACTGATTCTGGGGTCGCCATCCCTTGTTCCTCACAAAGCTCATTTGCGACTGGTGACTCAGAGAGGGCTCCTGGACGTCTGAACACCACACTGTTGAAGAGCCACAGTCTAGTGCCTCCTGGAGTGCGCCCAGCCTGCAGGTCACACTCACACACAAATGAGAAGCAGAGGCACACATGGTGTGCCTGAGGGGGGAGTCCCCCTGCCGGTCATTCATTCACCTCTCTGGGGCCCAGGCCTCAAGAACAGGAGCTGTGGTGCAGGCCAGTGAGTCAGCAGTCACTAATGAATCGTCTCGCTAAAGGGCACTTTCATTGCCCTCATTGAGAACTAAACTGTATTGTCATTTGGGTCCTCTGACCCATGAACTTCAAACTTTTCCCTGGGAGCCAGAAATGAGTGAGGGCCTAGCCAGAATGATTGTAAACCACAAATTTAGTTTTACCCTTAGAAGTCAAACATTGATCTTTGCCATTGATCTTTTTCCCATCCCTTCTCCCAAAGAAAACCACAAAGCAAAATTGAAAGGAAAGGAGAAGAAAAAAAAAAAAAGTATGTTTCAGAGTGACTCCATCCCATCCAATTGTTAACAAGAGTGGTTCGATGTTGAAATCCCCACCATGTCCAGGAGATGGCAGTGTCTGCCCAGGGAGTGAGCTCCTGGCACCAGAACAGGATGGGAGGCTCATCCCACAGCCTCTATTTATAACCCTGGGACGCCTGCCCTTGTTCCTGACAGGGTTGCTCCATATTCCTGCATCTTTGCTGGAGCCGGCAGCTTGTGAAAGAACACTCCGTGTGCCAGGTTATTTTTTGAGGACACACAAGGGTTCTTCAAAAAGTTTGTGGAAAATGGAGCTCAAAGATAATTTTTTTAATGCGAAAGATTTTGAAGTCCCTGCATAGTTTTATTTCCACAACATGCGTTTTCCAAGAACTTTTGGAAGACCCCTGGTCCTGCCACTGTGATCCATTGGTTTCCAGTACACGAGTCCTTTCCTCAGGGTGGATCTGTGACTCAGGGTGGCTGCTGTTTGCCAGGCACTGCCAGACAGTTGACGTACAAGCACATGATGGCCTTCTCTGTTTCTTGGTGCCATTTGTCCAGAAATTTCCACCAAAACCCGATTTTTAAAATAGACTAGTGACCACATCCACCATCTCTTACCCAGAGCCTAAACACATTTGAAATTCTCCACAAGTTTCTACATTTTGGTGCAGAGATTTGTAGTTCTGTTTGACAGCTTGAGGGACAAAAGAGACATGCATTTGCCCAATTAAATGTCAACTCTGTTAGGGAGCCAATTAAATAAAGGCTTAGTATTCAGGAAGTTTCTTCCTTTTTTTTTTTTTTTTTTAATCCAGTCGACTTTCATTCTGCATAGTCTGACTTTCTTCTAAGATCCCAAGCATTTGAAGGGCAAAGCCGGGCCGTGTGTGTTTAGCTGTGTTATTCCCTTCCAGCTGTGAATCCCACTCCTAGCAGCTGGAGCCTGGACAGTGGGAAGGAAGCCAAGAACATGTCGGATAGTGGGAAACTTATCTCTCCCCCTGTCCCTCCGAGACCCACACAGACTGGTGGGTATTTGAAGCACTTGAACAATCACTTTTATCAAATCACTTTTATTGACTCCTCCAACTTGTTCTGAATTCCCGAGAGAAAGGTAGGCGCCTGCTCTCTGAGGTAAACGCTTAGCAGCTGCGTAATTCACGGCGGTGCTCTCTCCCTTCCCTGAACTTCTGTCGCACGGCGTCAGGCAATGGTCCATTGCTAATAAACCCCTCAGACAAATTTTGTAGGGTGCTCTCCTCCAAGCACCATCCTCAAAATTTGGGGAATGCTCTCACCTTGCTAAGCCACTGACGCTTCCTCTCACCTGCGCTTGAACTCCCTCGTTCTCGTCAACCTCTGCTCACCTGGCCACTGTCTTCAGCCTTATTCTGCTGCACCCGGGTTTCACGTGGCCCAGCAGGGACTCTGATAGGCTTCCGGGGAATCAGTATCCTAGCCTCACAGTTGTCTTTGCCTGGAGAAGTCTGAGTTCAAGGGCAGTGTTTTTCAAGGAGCTGATTCAGGGGACAACATCCCATAGTGTGGCAGTTTATTCTCAGGCTTGACCTCAGACCCACTGCATCAGGATTTCTGTATTTCCGGGGAAAGGCCATCGACTGGTTTTTGCTGGAGCTGTCGCTAGATTTTGGGGACCACTGAAAATGGCGAGGGGACCTCCTTGGTGGAAGCAATGCAACATCCAGCCCCACTTCCTTCCGATTCAGTTGTTCCTTGGTGGGCTACCCATGGCAACTTATAAGAGCGGCCCGCCCTCCTTGACCACCTCTGCCTGTTCTGGAGATGGGGTTTCTTTTCAGCACTTCTAAAGCAGGGGTGATGCTTTACAAGTACAGGTCTACCAACAGGAGAAAAGTAGGACACTGTTTCCTTCATGGGACTTTCCAAGTTGATCATCCACGCTTCATTCACTGTATTCAGCCATCTCATCCTTGTCTCAATTTTGTTTCTTACTCAGAAAAGAAAGCTGATTTTACCACTTTTTAAAGTAAACTATATACTACCCAAAGCTAAAAGTCAAGTCGTCAATAATTTTTGAGAGGCATGTGAGATCTTTAAATAGAACAAGAAATCACATTAAATATATTGATCACCTGCAACTCCGTGTCAATGTGACCATGGAAGAGTAAGACTCATCAGCCAAATTGTATTTCATTCATGATGTTCCTGTATTTGTGTAGTTTCCAATTTTAGCCTGGTTGCATCCCTAAAATTGAAAATTTGCAAAGCAATGTTGAAGGAACAGTAGCTTCAATGGTGGCTAGGTCCCCAGGCCAGTTCAAACCTGAAGACGAGGTTGCTGAGGGCACTGTTTAGGCCAATGTGGGAAAACACCTTGCCAGAGAAGCATCTCTGTGAGTGTGCACTGGGAGCCGCGGCCACTGTGCTGGTGCCAGCAACTGCCCGAGTCAAGAAAATGGTCCCAAGGAGCTGGAAACCTTGACTTCTGCTGCAGGAACAGAAACAGAGTTCCCAGCCGCGATTGGCTTCTCCATGCATGCATGGCTTTCTTACCATCAGCACCTGCAGTTGACAAGCTAGGAGAATAAGGCTGGTATTGGAAGGTGACGTGTGCTGACAACAGGCCTCACTGTGCCATAAGGAAGCTACACCACCCACAATGTGATAATGCACCATTCTCACTGATCCCTTAGTTGCTGCCCTCCTGCACTGATTGCTCTCCTGGTCTGTCCTATGTCCTCACCTGTGGTTGTGGGCTCTGTACCTGTCTGTCTTCTGTTCAGCCTCTTCGTAGTTTTTTAATGAGTTACAAACCTTACTGTGACAATGGGGAGATTGGCAGCCAATCACAGCAGCACACTGTGGATTTGCTGGAGCCTCTCTGTGAGGTCCTCACCCTGTTGACTGTGTCATGGCCAGCTTTTACCATTCCCAGGTACACTGCAGAGAGCTGGCTTCGATTCACACACACACACACACACACACACACACACAGGAAGCCAAGCCAGCACACATGGGCTGTGCCCTTGAAACTTGCAGTGGGCGACACAAGAAGAGAACCCTTCTTTGCCATGACAGTGAAATCCAGAGTATCCAGGGTAAAGGGAAAAGCTGAGTACAGGCATTAGGGGGAGACATGGAAAACTGTTCTCTTCTTGTATAGCCATGGCCAAGGATATTCTACTTGTTGCAGGAAGACTAGGGATATGAGAGTGGGGACTGACTAAATGTATTCCCATGGGCCTATTCTAAGCTTCCTGGATGGTCTTGGTCTTCCCATTGCTGCTCAGGCCAAAGTCAGCAGCTGTGTCTCAAGGGTGGCCCCCAGACACCTCATACCTAAAAGCACCTGATACAATACATGAAGCAATGCAGAAGCATCTGGACTTGGGGGAGATGGAAAGGACATTGGACTAGTGTGGGGCCCTGTCACTTTGGCCAGAGCATCATGTATTTGCTGATAATGCTTCACTAATTGTCCCATGTGTTGGTAATGCCATCGTGTGTGAGAAACCTGTTCCACGCAGGCCTCATTCTGTTTGTCTGTCCCAGCCCCTCACCTCACCTCGCTTAGGTTCACATGCTCTGAGTCATCTCTCTGGTTGGTACACATGGAGGACATCTGAAGATAGTCAACCATCTGGTTTTCCTTCAGTGAAATATGCTGTCTCTCTCTCTCTCTCCATGCACAGCTTCACCAGCAAGACACACAACGACGTCAGTATCCCCCTCACCTGCAGGACGATCTCCATTAAAGGTAAAGCCCCCTCCTTAGATGGCCCAGAAACTGGTCCTTTTTCCTCCAACACTTAGCCCAGTTACATCAAGAGGTACTTTCATTTGCACAGACAATACCAACTGCATCTAAGGAAGGGGGAGGGAATCATGGGTGCAAAACCAGCCTTGGACCTTCCCCCTGAAGGCAGCCATTTGTACGCAGATAGACACAAGGCACCAGCGAGAACTTAACACCTGTACATCTGTGCAACTGAAGCAGGAAAGAAATGTGGTTCCTGTGTATCTTCTAGGACATTTTCATCCTGGTCTTTTTAAAGATTTATTTACTTGCTTTTTTATTTGAAAGGCAGAGCAACAAAGAGAGAGTAAGGGATCTTCCATCCACTGGCTCATTTGCCAAATGGCCTCAACAACCAGGCTGAAGCCAGGAACTCCATCCTTGTCTCCCACATTGGTGGTGAGAGCCCAAGCACTTGGGCCATCTTCCACTGCTCTCCCAGGCACATCAGCAGGGAACTGGATTGGAAGCAGAGCAGCCAGGACTTGAACGGGCATTCTGAGATGCCAGCCTCTCAACCAATGGCTTAACCCACTGTACCACAAGGCCGGCCCCTCATCCTGATATTTTGACTTAAAGCATATACACATACTTAGATTTTAAAAAAATCAAAGATCTACTAAATATTCTTCTGTGTGAGTTTTTCTTTTTTTGCCTTCATCATCTACCTCACTTCAACAAAGCCAAACCCAACTTTCTCTCCTCTACTATTTTATACCAAGGATCTCATTTACATTAGAAATACATCCTCCTTGATAAGATACAAGGTGGTAAAATAGCTAAAAAAATTCAAAGGAGAGAACTCGAAAGCTGCAGAGGTCAGATGTTTGCACTGGCATGTAGACACAGGCTATTTAACATCTCTAAACATACAAATCCCCCATGAAAATAAAGAATAATATTTAGTCTCCATCCAAATTGAATCAGACTGGCTGCAGGGCTTGTCAGTACATATGAGAGGTTGATGTTCAGAGCTGCTGCACCAGAGGCAAATTGGAGATTGCAATGAGTGCAGACAGAACGATTTTGTACCGGAGTGACTTAGGAGTCACACACTCCATGTCCTTTTTGTTGATAAGATAGCTCCCGCTAATGTGAAAAAGACAAATCAGCCTCTGCAAACAAATAAGGGCAGGTTGTGGTCTGAGGCATCTGTGCTGCTAGATAGAAACGGAGACCCTGGAAAACCAAACCAAAGAAGAAAAAGCAGAGAATCACCGAGAAGTGTGGTTTCATTTGCCTTGCCAAAATGTCTGATGCAGAAATGTGCCAGTAAGTGCCAATTATCTGCTCGTTCTGTTGTCGTTCTGCAGTACAGCTGTTATCAGCAAGTTCACGTGACAGATTTGCTCTGGAATCCCGTGCCTGTCATCTTGATGGGAAGGGAAGCAGCGTGACTTCTGCACGTTTTCACTTGCCCCTGACTCCCAGGGCCCTCCCACGGGCTGCTGTGGAATTATCATCTGTGGTTTTCAACTTGATTTTGCAGAGTAGTCATAAGACAATAAGAAGTCTTAGTGATTGATTCTGAAAAAAAAAAAAGGAGGGGGGCAGAAAATATTCAAGTAGCTACCATGGAGCCCTTGTGGCTACCATCTCTCTGCAGACCTGCGTGCATTCTTATTGGCCAGATGCAGTCTTGACCGTGTTTACATACCGGGTTCGAAGGAAGACAAAATGGTGGAACATCTGTGTTGTAACTCCTGGCATACATTAGGGGGCACAGTGCTTCCAAGTTACCAGCTTTCCTGTGCTGAGAATGCAGTTGGCTGCCCTTAACTGATCGAATTTGATGGTTTTTTTAAGCAATTAATAGTGTTAACTGTAGAGAAGACTGAGCTAACCTGCCTTATTTTGAATTTGGGCTCAAAGACGGTAGTGAATTCAGTATCTTAATTAGCCATGCTTAATTTACACCCCGACTTAATAAAGGGACTCGTGTCTATCGGAGACATAAGAGACTAAGGTAAAGTTACTCTCGAGCACCATTTCTCAGTGTATTCCCTAGAACAGTAGTTTTGTAGGACATGATGTTGATAAGGGGGAAAGTGGCTTGTGCTCACCTAATTTTAGAAAACAGTGGGCTGAACAGGCTCTCAACTTTCTGTTCTGTAAGGCTGACACACTAATGTACTTTGTACACAGAGAGTAGATCGTATGCAGCATTACCCAGGGGGGCGCTCTTCACAGAGCATTTCTTTGCACTCATTCTTCTTAGGGTACCAGTCGGAGGAGCAGCCAATTCAAGTGCTAGACAGGCCAGACCTCGACATAATTGAGGGAAGGAGGCTGGGTGGAGCATCTTGTGGAGGAGCAGAGACTGTGGCAAACTGAAGACTCGGTGCCCATTTAAAGAAATCTGGAGTTTTACGTGAAGTTCTCTTATTTTTAAAATGTAGCGACCAGATTAAGTTTTCAGCAAACACTGCTCTGAAGCTGCTCACAGGTCAAGTGTAGAGCCCAAGGACTGCCAGTGCGCAGCTGTAGCATGGGAGCCTGCCGTGAGGATGGCAGAGCAGAGGACAGGGACTGCGGTGCCTCTCGCGCCTCCTCTGAGCTCCCCTCCACAGGTCCTCAAGCCAGCCCGTGGCTAATCCTGCAGTTCCCAGCTAGAGAAGTGAAACAGCGCACCCAATGCCTTTTAAACCCGTTCCCTCTCCTTCAAACCGTGCGACTAATTATATGCCTCTGAATTCTCATCCTGATCACTCTCGTCCTCTTTCTGTCCTGCAAATGCAGAAGTAATCCAGGCAGTGAGATGGACTCAGTGAATGAGGGCCTGATATAAACATTCAGTGCTGGGAACGACGGTGCTCAGATCTGAGTCTGGCTGGCTGGCTGCTAGGGCAGAATACCGCAGATGGGTGTCTTGAACAAAAGAAACCGGGGTGGGCACTTGGCACAGTGGTTGAGATGCCACTTGGGACATTAGCATCCCATATTGGAGTGCCTGGGTTTGATTCCCAGTTCCAGCTCCGGAGCCCAGCTTCCTGCTAATGCAGACCCAAAGAGGCAGCAGATGATGGCCCCAGTAGTTGGGTGCCCGAGACCTACCTAAGAAACCCAGATCAAGTTCTCAGCTTTGGCTGTTGCAGGCACTGGAGGAGTGAACCAGCAGATGGAAATCAATCAATCAGTCAGTCTCTCTCTCTCTCTCAAAGAAGTAAAGCAGATAAAAATTAAATATAAAAATGACAAATTCTTTTCCCCGGTTCCGGAAGCTGGAAGTCCAGGATCGAGGTGTCAGTGGGCTGGGTTTCCGGTGGTGGCTCTCAGCTGGGCGGCCTCCCCGGATGCTCACGTGGTCTCCTCTGTGCAGATATTTGTGCAATGCCCCTTTCCTCTCCCAATAAGGAAGCTAGTCAGAATGCATTAGGGCGCGCCTCGCAGCCCCACCATCTTTTAATTAATTTTTGTTGACACATAAAATTGCACACACTTCTGGGGTATATACTCTGTAATGTTCACATCTGGGTAAGTCCATCCGTCTCTTCCAACATGGATCTTTTCTTCGGGAAAAGCATCCAAAATCCTTTCTTCTGGCTTTTTGAAAACATGCAGTATGCTATCATCTATAGTCATCCTACTGTGCCGAAGGACCCCAGGACTTAACCTCTTAGCTAGCTGTAAATGACTTAGGCTGATGCAGTTTAATCCCCCTCTTTAAAGGCTGGGCCTCCACCTCTAGCCCCCGCTGAGTGCCAGGGGTTAGGGTTTCCTCTGGAACTGGGGGGCCCTCTGGAGAGCCCGTACCAGCCTTCCTGACTCAGCCCTGGCTTCCCCTCCAGCAGCAGGGCTCCGTGCAGTCGTTCACCCCCTCGCCAGTGGAGTATCACTCCCCGGTCCTGTCGGGCAGCTACAGCAGCGGGATCTCTTCGCTCAGCCGGTGCAGCACGTCGGAAACCTCAGGCTTCGAGAATCAGGTGAACGAACAGTCGGCCCCACCGCCTACGCCAGCACCAGCACCTGCACCTGCGCCCGGGTCGGGGCCGGCGCCCGTGCCGAGCTACGGCGGCGGGCCGGAGGAGCCGGTGCGCAAGGAGAGCAAGACGCCGCCGCCGTACAGCGTGTACGAGCGGACTCTGCGGCGCCCGGTGCCGCTGCCGCACAGCCTGTCCATCCCCGCCGCCGCCGAGCCGCCCGCCTTGCCGCCCAAGCCGCTGGCGTCGCGGCCCAGCCACCTGGAGAATGGCACCCGGAGGACGGAGGCCGGCCCGCGGCCCAGGCCCCTGCCCAGGAAGGTCTCGCAGTTATAAGTCCTGCGTTAACGGAGAGAGGGGTGGCGAGAAGACGTTTAGTGTAGGCACTTTAATCACTTAACTCGGCTCTTTCCTTTAAAGGAATGGGATTTCGAAAAACCTGCTTATTAACGTAGTGTTGCACAATATTAAAAATTGCTGATCTGAGACGCCAGAGGTTCCATGAAGTGTGGCCGAATTGCATTGAAATGGTCTCATTGGACTGTGGTAAATAGCGAAAAAGACTCCTTTTGTACCTTTTTACGTTCGCCGTTTTTACGTCGCTCGATCTTCAGTCCAATCCGATATTGTCAACCACTGCGATGCGTGATAATGTTGTATACTTTTCACTGAATACTTGATACTCCCAGAAAGCTTATGAAGTCAGTGCGCATGCTAACACGATGGGCCTGACTTTTGGAGACGCTGGTAAATCAGGTGAGGAATTCGCATCCTGGAAATTAAAGCGTAAGGCACTTAAGGGGTTGCAAGGAATGGGACTGAAGCAAAGTCCCAGTTTGTTCTTGAAGCAAAACCCTTCCTTAAGGTTGCTGTTGACCTTTGACAGCCTACATTCTTAAAACTCCACTTTGTGAGTTGGTTGCTAAATCCTGGAGAACGCTGACACCATGGTATCTCCTGCATTTCTTTTCAAGGTGCAGTTTGCTTTCAGAGTTCCAATCAGCTAAATTAAGCAAAAGACCCCAGGAGAAATGTTTACTTGAATTTTGTGCTTCCTTACTTGATGGTTTCCTATGTAAAATATGTCACTGAAGAACAAACGTTCAAGTATTTCAATAGGCACAAATGACTGTGTCCCGTTAACAAGAATTCAGGAATCGATACAGGACAGTATTAGATCAATAGCGTAGATGAAGGAAAAAACCTTGGCGAAAATATATTCAGCATGACTAAATGGCAAAAGGACTTTGAAAAAGCAAGGGCATTAGCTTTCAGTCCTGCACAAAAATTAGGAATTCCTCACAGCTCTCCGTCCTTCCTCCCTGGGGAGCCTGTCTTCTCAGCTGATTCTGTGTCCCTTTGTCCAAGGGGGTGGCTGTAGACCACAGTAGCTTGAATGTTGCGACGTAGCGTCTTAGCTCTAGATAGGGATGCCAGAGCCGCCACTGTAGGAGTGTGGGAAAGCACCTTGTCTGTAGTAATGTATTTTGTATCTTTATTTTTTTCTTTCACTGACTGTTTATAATATAACACTCAATTGACAATAGATATGAACTGTATTTTAAATCATACTGTTAAATATTTTCCCTCTTTTGTTGGGAAGCTCATTTCAGTTTAACTGTGTTTGTTTTGTGGATAGCTTACCTGGAAGGCAGTGACCACTTTTTTATACTCTCTTAATGAAACCATTCAGCAGGTATATGCTGTTGAGGCTGGTTATAGAGGTTTTCTATAATAAATGTTCAAGTATTTTTGTACATAACTGGTTAATTTTAATAAGAGATACCATTATGTGTAAAAAAAAGTAAAAATAAAAGCAAACAGTTGTGGATGCAGTATGATTGTTATAATTATGCCAAATACTTTATGTATGGGAAAAAGAATATTTGTACATATGTGCTTTTAACAATAATTCTGCCATATTGACTTTACAATTTTGAATGTCAGAAAAAATTAATATATGTTAAAATATTTATGTTTAGTGAAAGTATTCATAATTGAGAAAAGGAACATATGAATTTTAGCTTTGTATCTTGCAAGTTTTACAATTGGAATTTCTTGAAATAGGCTTTGCTTTTGATGATAACACTTTGTGTTTGTAATTACATCCTTAAAAATATATATATATAAATGTATAGAAAACTCCATATTTCTGTTGCTTTAAAGTAAAACCTTCCATTTAAATAAGATGACATGCATAAGATAACAAAGCTTCTTTGATTTCCTTTTCCTGTGTAATTTAATAGATCCCCTGACTAGTGCTTGGGCACAGTATCAATCAGTGTTATTTGCTCCTGGAGCCTTTTTTTTTTTAAGTTTTTGGCAGTGAACAGTTGACTCATGTGCGTGTAATTCTGAATCAGCTATATAGCAGATTTCAAGAGATTCTGTTAGCACAGATGTTCATGTTGGTTGCTGCTGAATGGTAAATATTAAATAAAATTACCAGATTAATCTTAATATTTCTGTCTTTATTCCTAACCTCAGCTTGTCTTGACTTGGGATAGGAGCTGCCTGTCGCTGTCATTAGTAAATTATCAGTCTTCTCTGTCGCGGATCCCCTTTTTGGCCTTGTTGTACCCTGGAGAGTGCCATTCAGTCTCACTGCAATTCATTTGTATCCTAGAGAACGAAGGTTGAAAAGAGAACAATGTGGTGAATATTCCTTGGAGAAGGTAACTTTCACCTAGCCAGGGGTGGGGAATATCCAGCAGGCAGGCCCCATGAGGCCCACAAAACCATTTGGTCAGGCCCTGCCAAGGCAACCAACCACAGTTCAGACTCAAGAGTTAATAAATCTATAGCAGGCTAATTTTCCAGCTGATAATTTTGTATAAGCCTCAAATGAAGTTATAAATTTATAAATATCCAAATGGCTCTTGGCAGAAAAATGGTTCCCCACCCCTGAGAAGCAGTTAACCATTAATTGGCCTAACTGGAGGCAATTTGACAAGTCAAACCATCTAAGTTTGTTTGCATTAGTGAACTGGACAGAAAAGGTAACTGTCATGCCAGATGGACAATGGAATGGTGGATGCTGCTGTTGCCAGCTGTGACAAGCTTAATCCATAAGCCAGCTTTTCCCCCGATTTTCACAAAATGATAGGAAATCTGAGTGAGAGTATTTAACAAAGACCGCAAAACTCATTGACTACAAGCTTCCTATTAACAAACCTGGCTTTTACTTTTGTGAGACACTGGCATTTGTGTGACTCAGTGCTAAGCAAACCATGTCTGTCTCATTAAATACCAAAACCCATTTCAAGACCATTGTCAAAGCCCACCTGATTGGTTTTCATCATGTCTGGAAGTGATTTCAGAGCCTCTTTGGATCATTTTCATTACAACTGAGCCTATAAGTATTTCGATTCTACAAGCATAATTACAATATGAATAGCTCAGTTCCCTACCTAAGTAGGTTTTCTCTGTATTGTTATTGATTGTTGTACCAAACACAACAAAGAGAATAACAAGTTGCACAGCTTTGCCTTTATTTGATCTTTTGCACATTAAAAGGTGTCTCAGACCAAGTGAATTCTTAGTTATTGATGGAAGTAAGCTTTGCCCTTAATATAAAAGAGTATCTTTACAAGAGCTTTAAAAATTAACAATGTAACATTTTTTTTTCCAATATTCCCTTTGTCTTTCTTATAAGTGTTACATAGTTTTTCTACGTTTTTGAATGCTGGTTTCCCAAATACAAGGCTGAGTTCTTTGCCTACTGCCATATAGGAGTGTCCTACCTTGAGAGAGCTTTGGTACTGTCACAGAGAGGGAGGACAAGATTAGATTAGTCCAAGGTTGGCCAGGCCTTGATTATGATAAGATGAAGGTGATAGTGTATTTGTTTAGCATTGGTGGAGATAGAAAGGCAAGGATTTTGAGTCATGACTATCAGGACAGAAACTCAGTTGATGCTTTCTACTGATGAATTGATGGGTCTGTTGACAAAGTCCCATTTAGAACAATGAAGTTACTTGCCTGGGCAAGAGCTTCTTAGGAGAGTAAAGTTATGCTAGTGAACAGTGTAATAGCAAAGTCAGATTCCCATAGACATAGGTCACAAGGGGTTGATAAAGAACAATCCCCAAAACTGGTTGGAGGAGTTGCTATAGACCCCCCTCAAAACTGGGTCTGTTCACCCCAATCACTGACATCAGGATGGTGGAAGAAAGGAGGTGTTTTAAAGCAGAGCCCATAGCAAGGCTCTGGGCAGCTATTGCTCAGGTCCCAGGTTCCCAGAGGGGTTAGGGCTGAAGGTTCTTAGAGACCAAAGCTGGGTTTGAGAGGTGCTCAGTGCATGTCCTGGTCGTGCAGTGCTCCTGACCTTCCTTTGATTGGTCAAAGGTCTTCAGAGAATTTTGATGATGGCAAAGTGGGCTTCAGTCAGTCTGGGGGCTACAAGCAGATGGTAGTTACTTGTTGCTCCAAGCCTGGAGTTCCTGGAAAAGAAACCCCTCAAGACAAGATGGAACATCACAATGTTATCCATAGGAGAAATAAATACCTTCCTGAGTGCCCTGGTTAGAACCTTGCAGAGCTGATCATTAAGGATTTTGAAGGGCCAGCTGCACCATTCCCTCAGTCATTGAGGTTGATTTGCAGGCTAAAAGCAGGATGAGGAAACTTGAAGGGAGGGTACCTGGGAGGAAACCAATGGTATCTAGCATCTATGCATTCAAGGCACTGCATAAGAACTTGTTTTAAGGGTTGATGGTTTCAGTTCCCCAAATGTATATTTTACATAGTTGTAATCACAGTGTATCTGAACACGCCGCCCTTATTTTTTCCCTAATGTTACAGTATGTACATATTTGTTTTCATATTATTAAATGTATATTAAAAAGCAAAAAATATGTTTTCTTTCACAGTTTCTTTAGCCATTCTCCTATTAATGAACGTCCTACTGTTTCCAGTTTTTCTATACTAAAATAACATCACTGTGACCTTCTTACATACAGCTTTTTCAATGTTTTGCATTATTTCCATAAAATGGATTCTGCAAGGGCAAAGCAATGATGGTTTTTATAGTATTGCTTTGTAGGAAACCAAAAAACAATTTCCCGCCATTTTTCATAGTTCTTAGCTGTACGCTTCCCCAGTAAGAAGAGATAGATTAAAAAACGAACAAAAAAGCTTGTGTGTACATGAGATACCCAAGGAAAAAAGTAGCCCTTGAAAAGGTGGCTGAGGATTCAGGCTTAAATGTCATCTTTAGCTAAAAACAATGAGAGGAAGGTGGAAGGGATGAGAAGATTCCAGGAAAGGTATCACCAACAAGAGTAAGTTGTGTGATACACATTAAATCCATCTTGCTGGGCTGGTGCTGTGGTGTAGCAGATAAAGCCGCCTCCTGCAGTGCCGGTATCTCACATGAACGCTAGTTCAAGACCCAGCTACTCCACTTCCGATCCCGCTCTCTGCTATGGCCTACGAAAGTGGTACAAGATGGCCCAAGCCCTTGGGCCCCTGCACCCTCATGGGAGACCCAGAAGAAGCTCCTGGCTTCTGATCAGTACAGCTCCTGCCACTGTGGCCAACTGGGGAGTGAACCAGTAGATGGAAGACCTCTCTCTCTCTCTCTCTGCCTCTCTTCTCTCTGTGTAACACTGACTTTCAAAGTAAATAAATAAATCTTTAAAAAAAGAAAATAAATAAATAAATCCAACTTCTCCCATCAATAAGGGTCTCTAGTGATAACATCATCTGTCCTATCCGGGTACAGAGATAGAGACACCTTCCAAATGATGATTTCCTGTATAGATGTAAATTTCTTTTACAAAAACCTCTTTCCAGAGATCTCCTATGTCTGCTGTTTTTCTATATAATCAGCTCAAAATCCTCTTTGGCCGTATCTTCTAGCCTATTTGGGGATGGCATATTCCGGTCTCTTACACTTGTCTATTGGCAGCTTACTGCCTCCAAGCAAGGCAACTTTCAGGGTTGAATATTGACAATGATATAGGGGTGGAAATCGCCAAATTATGTTGTGGGGAGTGAAAGCCCAGCTGGGCTTAGAGACCCCCCCCACACACACACACACCCAGCTAGATTTAATCCAGGTTCTTGTCTTCCTGTGTGTAAGAAACTGGAAGACGTAGGTAGAGATAAACAAGAGCAGGATTGATTGAAAGGCAAAAGGATGACCCCAGTCTGGGTGGGGGTACAATTCTCTCTGAGCCAATCAAGATGCTAACCAGAAAAAGACCAGATTCAGGGACAAGTTCCTGGAACTGCCCGCATTTAGCTAGAGGGCAGTTAGAAAAGTGTCCACTCCGCCTGGAGCTAAACGTATTTTTGTTAGCAGGGATGGCTCTTGTGTCCACTCAGGAAAGAATTCAGGAAGCGAGGCAGCAAGGTTTAATGGGACAGGGAGTCTGTCAGAACAGATGGGCACCTTTCCAAATGGGGTCTGGGAGAGAGTGCCCAGATGTGAAGATTGCAGTAACCAAGGATACACAGCTGAGTGGAGAGAATCCACCTGACAGGCCAGGTGGGCATCTCAGCCAAGAGCTGAGAGCTAAAATCCACCTGGTAGTCCAGGTGAGCATCTCAGGAAAGAGCTGAGCACACAGTCTGTATTCAGACTGGGTTTTATAAGGGAACAGGGTCTAGGTTTTGTAGCCCCCACATTTACTACTGGACAAACGGTTTTCTGAGTGTGAAATAGGTAAAATTCCTCCCGAGACTTTATTGCCCAGTGTTATCAGAGTGGAAAGCCTACTTGGTGCCAGGTAGACAGGATCCTCCTAGGGTGCCCTCCTTGGGGGAAAGTTGGGACCACCTGTAAAGTTATTGGGTATGGGCAGAACTTCGCCATGTAAAATACTGGGCTACTTCCAAGGTGTGCTTCTGAGGCTGCTAGAGGTGGCCACATTGCTTTCCACGGTGCTCTGTCTTCCTTAGGCCCCACTCACGCAGATGGGCTAATTTCTAACTTGCTACCTAACATTTTTACAATGAAAATGTTGGAGAAGAAAAGTACAGCTGTTTGCAGGAAAACTGCATTGGCTGTTAATAGGAAGCACAGAGTAGCACAAAGCAGGGAAGCCTTGGGAACACAGGACTGTCCACAAAGAGGACTAGTTGCTGCTTCCGGATCACCTGGGGTTAACAATCCAACAGTGTATACATGAACAGGGCACAGCATCCCCGGTGGTCAGCCGTGATAGAATTTAAGTCAAGGGTTAGGCATACATTCAAGAATGCTGTCACCTTCTGCCTTCTGCTCTCTACCCATGCATGGGTCCCTCTCATTTTGCCTCCTCTGTTACTCCTTCCTCACAGGTGGGGAAGTGAGCAGGCCTGACTGTGACCTTTGACCCCATTCATTGAGCTGATCTGATAATCAGGCCTGAAGACAAGAACAAATGCAATTGAATATTCACTGACTTCTGACAGCAGGATCACTTTGATTTTCTGCCTTTCACTCCTTTTTATTCCTTTTGATAAGGCATCTA